TATTTAAACATATGAAGAGATAGTGAAAAATTTTGACTTGGTCCATTTCTCAAAATCTAACCAAAATGTACAAATGTTGGTCATTTTTTTAAAGGCTTCTCATCAGGCCAACATCTTTCCCAAAGTGCTAAACATTAATCATTGAGTATCTGTCTATATTTCTGAGATGAGGTATTATGTACACTATTTACATTATTCGGACTATTGTCCTATTCTTTGCCGCCACATTTATTACAACATTTTGGCCGTTGTATGCTCCGGCCTTCTTCAGGTGGTTGGAATGTCAAACTGAACCCTTTATTTCACTCACTGGGATAGACACATGGCACAATGGATAAAGGCGTTGGTTACATCCAGTGACAAGGACTCAGAGTGAGAGTTCAATACCTGGTTAAGGTGGTGAACTTGCAGAGGGGAATTAACAGGAGATAACTGATAACTGACATCCATTAAACATGGCACATGGAACTAGAACAGTCTACCCCAGTGAGTGAAATAAAGGGTTCAGTTTGACATTCCAACCACCTGAAGAAGGCCAGAGCATACAAAGGCCAAAACATAATAAATATGACGACAAAGACAAGGACAATAGTCCGAATAATGTAAACAGTGTACATTAATCATTGATTTATTACAAAATATTTTGTCTGGAAATTTATTAATGCTTAAATTTATGTTAATGTATGTTTATTACATGCATGTTGTATTAATTCTAAGTCTTTTTAATGTTTGAAAATGGAGGTTTCACCACATATTCTAATAGAAAAGTTTTTGTCACTGTGTTCATGCACTTTAATATAGAAATACAAACAGAAGTACCTTTACAGAATATATGCTATAGAATCTGACTTATCTCAAAAAGCTAGTACAGCCTTATTAACCTAAAAATACCAAAAATAGTATTATTGTAAAATTAGACAATTAGCACTTAAATCTTCCAGTGTATCAGAAAGGAACTTGACAAACATGATTATCTTCATTATGCCTTCAAATTTATGAATATTTGTAAATAAGGACATATTATGAGGGATGCTGAAAAGTATTTGGCTTGACCTAAATCCCTAAATCTGACTAAATAACTAAATATCAAATTTGTTTTATCGTCTTTTTGTGAGGGCTAAGAATTTTCCATCATCCTGTCATACAATTACATCCATTTATTGAAAAATAAAATCTCAATACAACCTTATTCCTTTCATGAAATCTTATAACTTTTCCTAAATTATATATCATTTCTTTTCAGATTGTCTATCTTGACAAAGAAGAAACAAATTTATGATTATTACTTTCATGAAGAACTTAGTAGATTTGCATGGATCATTTCTTTTAAAGTCTGCCCACATTTCAGAAAACATGCAAAAACCTACTCAAGAAAAAAAATATCCTTGTAAAGTGTGTGAGTCTGTATTTTCAAAGATTTCTGCTTTACAGACTCATATGCGATCACATACTGGTGAAAAACCATATGCCTGTGAAGTGTGTGGATGTATGTTTTCCCAGAATTCAACTCTAAAAATCCATTTACGAACTCATACTGGAGAGAAACCTTATTCTTGTGAAGTGTGTGGATCTTCATTTTCAGTAAGTTCAGTTTTGAAAAGACATATGACAACCCACACTGGAGAGAAGCCATATTATTGTGACATTTGTGGGTGTTCATTCTCAAGATGTTCAAGTTTAAAGAGACATATTCTAAAACACACTGGAGAAAAACCATATTCTTGTGAAACATGTAAATCTGCATTTTTAGATAGTTCTGCTTTGAAAATTCACATGCAGAAACATACTGGGGAGAAATCATTTTTTTGTAACATTTGTACATATGCATGTTCACAAAGCTCAGATTTAAGAATTCATATGCAAATACACACAGGAGAGAAACCCTATTTTTGTGAAGTGTGTGGATATACATTTTCACAAAGTTCAGTTTTAAAAAGACATATGCAGACACATACTGGAGAGAAACCATTTTCTTGTGAAACATGTGGATGTTCATTTTCAAGAAGTTCAACTCTTAAAATACACATGCGGAAACACTCAGGACAGAAACCATTCCCTTGTCAAATTTGTGAATCAGCCTTTTCAGATAATTCAGCTTTAAAAATTCACATAAGAAAGCATACTGGGGAGAAATTATATTCGTGTGAAGTTTGTGGATCTGCATTTTCAGAAAGTTCAAATTTAAAAACCCACATGCGAACACATACTGGAGAAAAACCATATTCTTGTGAAGTCTGTGGCTCTGCATTTTCAGTGAGCTCAGCTTTGAAAACACACATACGAACACATACAGCAGAGAAACCATTTTCTTGTGAAGTGTGTTCAACTGCATTTACGACCAGTTCAAATTTGAAAAGACACATTCGAGCATATCATAGAAAAGCTATTTTCTAAAGTTTCTTCCTCTGTAATTTGACATAATTTTAATTTATTTAAAATATTTATTTACCTGGAGATATATATGTGTGTGTGTGTGTGTGTATATATATATATATATATATATATATATGATACAAGGTTAACTCAATAAGTAAAAGTATTTTTTAAATTATGTGGTAAAAACAACAGGGAGATGCTGAAATGTGACATCACATGCATACATGTGATAATGAGTAGCAATAAAAATCAGACATATGGATGGTCCCCTCAGCGATTGCACCATCAAGGAACAAGTGTTCCTGTGGACAGAGGGAGTGAAAACTGCAGAACTCTATTACCAGATGTTGGCACATGCACTGTGAATCAACGAAAGGTGAATGAGTGGATAGAACACTTTAAAACCAGAAAAACAAATCTAATGGATGGAAGCCGATCTGGTCACCCATCAACATCATGCATGGAAGAACACATCCAGAAATTGGATGCCTTGATCCAGGGAAGGCCAATGACTCATATTAGAACAAGTGGCAACAATCATGAGCATCAGCTATGTATCTACACAAGCCATAGTGTATGATGACTAGGGGTACCATAGAGTTTGTATGGATTGGGTGCCCAAACAAGCAAGTGGTACAGACGTGGCTTCATGAACAACTGTAAAGCTATTCAGAAGCACAACACCATTACTGTATCAAAACATGACATTTGTTCTTCATCAGTTCAAATGAAGGTGTTGTATGAAAATTGCCTTTAATTTTTTTTATTTACCTTTGTATATATAATTATTTTTTGTTTTCACTTTTTAAAATACATGAAAAGATTCAGTTATGAAGGCTTTGTTTAAATTGTTTTTGATTGACAAAAGAAGATATGCATGAAATGTACTGGATATCAGCTCAGAAAGTGAAGTTAGCAAGTACAGATTTCAAGCTAATCTGTTGCATTCACTTTCACACTTATGCCTGTTATAAACACACATATGGTAGCACAGAACAAATAAACCAATAGTACTGCTGGTAAGGTGAAAGGAAAAGAATTGTAAAAATAAAATTCTTTTGTATTGTTGATACAGTGGATGTGAGCAGAATGTCTCTAAATGTAGGTGAGGGAGGTGGCTTCGAAGGAAGAGTAGAGTTGGTAAGGCCAGGAGTTGATGCGTTTGTCAGGTCAGTTGACTGAGATCACATTAGTAACATCAAGATGGGCATGGAGCAGATTAGTGAAGCTTTGATGTTTGCTGCAAATTTGATTTTGCCAATACAGAAGATGCAAGCAGAATGTCTATGTGGGTATAGTGTAGGTGTTTGCAGGAGGGTGGGTCTTGAGTGGATATATGTGCCTGGTCAGTTGCCTTGCGTTGCAATCAGTCTGTTAAGAGAATCTATTTTTATGAATGAAACTTCTCCAAGTTCTGGGTCATTTAGATAAAAGACTTCAAAGAACTCTTTGATGTGGTCAGCTGACCTTACATCCTGGTATTCATATTTGTTGGTTGGTGCCAAACTTAAGCGAGTTGGCTGGCAAAGTCAGTTGTTGTAGAAATCTGCTTCAGAGCAGTCTGTTTACTACCCTTCACTGGCCTGACATCTAAACTATACCACAAAAAAACCAGCAACTCCCAACTGAAGTTGAAGTATTTTTAATTTCTTGCCAGTAAGCCTTTATGTTTTTTTCCTTTTTTAGCCATTGACGATAATCACTAAAATTATAATAAAACATTTTTTTTTTTTACTATAAGACTTAGTTGATCTTTTTGTTGTTCCATTTACTTTTCTTTATCTTATTTCTTTTGTCACACACATGGCAAACCAACAGAAGGAAAACTCTGATTTTAAAACTATGATGATGTCGATGGGAAACCACTCCAATATCTTGCCACAAAATGCATGGCAATTCACAGATAATGAAGAATATGAATCTGTGTACAATCTTGATTGCCTTTGTCCTGAAGGGTTAAGGCATTTAAAAAGGCAATAGTTGATCTTTATACTTCCTCAATGTTATGAATTCTCCAAGGTTCATTTTTTAGTAAGGCAAGAATTGTAAGACAAGACGATAATGTTAAATTAGAAGCATGGATAATATAGCAGCCACTCCACTCTTTTTGGCCAGACACATGTGCATTAAAAACCCTATTAGCAGCAACTATATTTTTCAGATTATGGGCATGTGTAAAACAAATATTAGGAGCATGTGTAGCATGAATTTCAAGAGACTAGCCTTTTTCAGACAGTATTGCCAACAAGGCCAGACATAAATCTCTGAACTCTCAGAACATAACACCTGGCAGGAACACATACTCAAGTTTTCACTCTGTTATAGAGTAGTTTCACAGTGGAGGCTTGTATTTCACTAAGTCGGTCCTAACTTAGGTTTGACGTACAAAACGTTAGGAACTTGAAATAATAGTTAATGACACAGCAATCTAGTTGTGGTGGCTCATACTTTAATGTCCGACATTGACTGACTGACCAACTCACTGAGCTCCCTGGTGACTGCTACTACTCCTACTTATTATATGTGGGAGAGTCTATTAACAATAGAATAGGTATGTTCCAGTATAACACACTTGGCAACAAAGTAGGTTCAACTACATTCATTTCCTCTTTGTACAGGAGGGCTTACGGCCATTTCGTGTTGAAGCAGCAGTTCCCATATGATTTCTGAAGTTAAGCAACATTGAGATTGGTCAGTACCTACATGGGTGACTGTTTGTGAATAGTATGTGCTGAAAGCTTGGATGTGCAGGTGGTGTGATGGATAATGGCTTGAAATTTTTACTCGGAAAGCTGAGTTACAATTTCTGTTGGGTCCGTTATATTCACTTACATGTAAATACCCTTGGAAAAAGTATGAATCCATCTCTTCTCTCCTCAGCTATGGGTTAACTAGTAAGACTTTTATCAGTAAATCATTATTATCTAAAAAAAAAATCTTTACAATTTAAAAAAGAAATTTCTGGTTTTAAATAATCTACGATAGGTTCATAAATTATAGAAAATGAATCAATATATGTTGCAAATGATAAAGGACAACATTAATCTCTATTAAAATAACTCAGATTTTTTTGTAAAGTTCACGTGTTTTTGTTCTTCTTTTTAATTTAAATCTGAGTTATTTCAATAGAGATTAATGTTGTCCTTTATCATTTGCAACATACACTATTTATATTTGGTCTATTGTCCTCATCTTTATTGTTTTTGTTACATTTTGGCCATTGTGCTTTCTGGGCTTTATCAAGTGGATATTGATAGAACAAAAGAAATGAAAAGTTATAAACGTGCACATTTTTATGTTTTTATTACTTTAGTTTTTCCTTCTGGTTTGGTCAAACTGATATGTTGCTCTATTTTCTTACTGTTAGGAACAGTAATGGGTATGTCACCATTCACATAAATACAGTAGTAAATGTTGGTCTGCAGTTGAAGATTCATTGTGGAACTCACTGGACTCCCTTTTAGCATTTGACTACTTCATCTATGCGCTGCTGGTGAATCTTATATGTGTTGTTCTTATACTAAGTATTATCGTTCATTACCAACTTTCGTGTAATTATTCTTTTCAGTAACCTTCCCTCGGTTGCAACACCTATCAATCAAATTTACTCATCACTGGAAACACTTTTTTTTACCTTTTAGTGCTTGTTGTTCCATTAATGGAACATATTTTAAGCCAACATGGTTTTTTGATTTCGGATAAGCATTACTTGTAGTTTAACACAATATGTAGACATGTCTTTTTCATTTATATTACTGGTAAAATAATCACAATGCACTAATATTAAAAATTAAAATGGGAACACTTACCTTCCCCTATTTTACACTCACACATTCTACCAGTCAATCAGAAACCAGTTTCTGTTGGCACCAAAAAAAAAAAAACAAATCTTAAAGTCTTCCTCTTTGTTTACTGAAGCTGACGAAGAAAAATGTTTATTCCGGAAGTTAACATAAAGTTAACATCTTGAATCAAGTTAAGTGTACTCTTCCTTTAAGATAAGTTTAGCTCCACAAACTCAAACTAAAAGCTTTCAATCACCTCTTTTTCTTCTTGTATATGTTTTTTTTCTTTATAAATCTATTAATTTGATTACTCTTGTGATTATTCATATTTTTTGCCTGTTAAATTTCCCACACTTGTGTGAATCTACTCATTTACACATGAAAATAAAACAATATGAGTAGATAGGTTCATACTCCTTTCCTGTTTTTTGAATAGGAGTAGAGTTTTATCCCTTGTTTCCTGTTTAGGATTAGGTTTCCAATTCCTTCTAAATTCTACTTCAATTCTTTTCTTCAAATGTCATCATCTAAACTCTAAAATTTATATTATTATTGGGGTTCTGGTTTCGTCTAAGGTCTTTTACTTCCTTTTCACTTCCAGTAGCTCCTTGCATCTTAGTAGCATTATTGCCTTGTTTGGGGTCAAAAAGAAAATTCTGTCTTAAAATATGTTCCACTAGTGGAACAATGGACAGGGCACTAAATGTTAACATTCTGTTAATATCAAACAAAAATTTTAAATAAGCTTAAAATGATTTGGAATAAATCCCTTAATTAAATGGCTTAATCATACTTATTATAAAATCCAGCCTTTAAATCTGCAAATCTTTTCATGGCACTTTCTACACCTATCTTCTTTACAAGATTCACACACAAGAAGCAGAAAGACAACTGATGAAGTTCAAATTCCAATACATGTGTGTTGTCATGATGACAGGCCAAATTGACCACTCAGCCCTACTACATAAACACTGGCTACTATGTAAAATACAATTAGATTGCATTAGTAAATCATTATAAAACCCAGGTTGTGTGTATGTGTCTGTACGTTTATATATTGGATCAGATTTCCTACATTTTTCAACTGATTTCAACAAAACTTAACAGGGTTATGTAAAATTACCTTGCGGGGGTTCTGACAGTGACAAAAATTGGAAAAACACAATTGTTTTTGCACAAAATCAATTTGAAAACACGATTAAGAGGCATCGCTTTCGCGGAATGAAAGGGAGACAACTCATATCGAATTATACTTATTATAAAACCCAGGTTGTTTGTTTGTGTTCGTTTATATATAGGATCGGATTTCCTACATTTTTCAACCGATTTCAACAAAACTTCACTTTTTTTTTTTTGGCAGGTAGTGTTTCTTATTGTCTTGCACACTTTTTTCTTTATTTTTACATTCAGAATGCTTTAAAAATTCCATTTACAAGACAATTGTTTATAATAAAATTCTATTCAATTGGTAGACTCATAACGATTGAAAACAATGGTTTTGTTTGAGTTTGGGTTTGACCAATTCGTAAAAAACAACAACAACAAAAAAAAAAAAAACTAATTAAGACATGCGTGTCCGTCAACCTTAAACAATAATCTTTGTCAATTTTATTTTTTAGTCTTTATGATGGTCGATACTTGATCTATCTCTTACTGTTACATCCCCGGGCAACGCCGGGCTCTACTGCTAGTTTTTTATATTCATTGAAAATGTGTTAAACACTGATTAAATTCTTTCAGTTATTATAGCCACAAAGAAAAAATAAAAAAAATATTGGACTTTGTGCCTGTAAACAGTGTGAAAAGGACAGTTTTTCCCATAAATGCATCTCAGAAATGTTAGTTGTTTTAAAAAATGATGATTAGAATTAGAATAAAACCTAAACATAATGAAAGTGAATTTATACATTTTTTCTTCTTGAAAATTTACAACAAAAATATTAAACACTATTTATTTACCAGAATAATTTTATATTTGCATAATTCTAAAAGCTAATACAATTAGAACTAAATACAATGCAATATTTATCACTGACATATCTCTTCTCACATTTTCTTGGACAGTTACCATTGCCATATCATGGGCCATGTCTCAAAACTGTTCAAGAAAACATGAGAAGAGATATGTCAGTGCTAGTACCTTCTCCAGCCCAGCACTACCTGTGATCAGGGTCCAGGTTGATGGCAGAACCGTCACCGTGCTGGTCAATACTGGTTGTTCACTGTCTATAGCCATGTAAATACCATTGCATTGAAAGGCTGTAGTGATATGGATGGCCTAAATCAACCCATACATTTTTTACTTTACAAGTATGTAAGCAAACAAGAGAAGCAACACGAAAAATTGTTCTTTATAACAAGAACAATATTCATATTTATGTATGTCAATGATATACAAGCATAATTAATAGGAGTTACTTCCCTTTGACTCGAATTAAAGTCTTTACTAAGGAAATATTTTTATCTGAGCTCATAGGTGAATGAACTTGCCACTCAAAATGTTCACTGTGAGAGAATTGAAAGAATTCTGTAAAGCTGAGAATATGTTGATAAACTTTTAGCTTCAGAAGAGTTGAAGGAATGAATGTTCCGTAATGTTTAATTAATTTCCATTGCTTGTATTTGAATATTCATATGTTGATGCTTGTAATGTTCTGTAATGTTTGTAATGAAGTTTCTGTACGTACATGTATGTGTGCATGTGTTTTCATAGCGTTCACCCAAAAGAGGTCCGAATGTGATTTCTTAAACAAGTACATTTTAGTGAGCGAGAGAAATCAAACAGAGGAAGAAAAAAACTTGTGTCATACTTTTAAACGTAATGTGATAGGCTCCGAAAGGCATAGACAGATTTTAGGTGGAATTGTATTTTTGTTCAGGTCAGGAACTAGGTCGATGTTATTTGGACGTAGTCGAGAAGATGATTTAAATATTAACTGACCAATGAGAAGTGAGAAAAATTATCAAGCCTCTGTGATCCACTTTTTGCACAGAATTTGGCATTGAAAGAAAGTGGTAGCAGAATGCTATATAAGGCGGAAATCAGACAAAACAAACACATATCTTTATAAAAAAAATTGATAAAGAAAAAGGAATTGTAAATATGGTTAAAATCTGCGATTTTTTTTTTTTTTTTTTTAGCGATTTAAAAACAACACATTGCCTTCAATAAATTCGTTTTGAAATTTTGTCTTTTTTTGCTTATTGGATTTTTAAATCTATTGGCTTTTTGTAAAACTAAAATAAAAGCTTCAAGAAAGATTTTTCATTTTTAAAAATCCATTTTAAACTTTGGATATCACGTTTCTTTGGGAGTACCTACATTATAAATCTTTTAAGATAAATAAATAAATAAATAAAAGAAATACAATTTTATTCCAAACTATTAATTAATAAAAGGGACGAAATTATGTAAAACACCGCCTCTGTGATTTGCTTTGTCGATCAACGAGACACTTTCTTTAAAACAATTCCATCTTGTGTTTTCTTTTATCGTTTTTTTTATATAACACTTTCTCTGTGGTATTCTTTTCAACTTCGCAATTTTTATTATGAACTGGACGAACAATACAAAAACCGAACAGATAATTTGGAGTTTGAATTTAAAAAGAAAGAGGCAATTATTTTCGATTTTTTGCCAATTTTCTGTTAAAAAATGTTTTAGTTTTCTCATTAGAATTCGACATCTCAATGGTAAGTAGAAAAATATAATACTCAAGGAAACAGTTTTTAATGATTATGATAATAATAATAATAATCTTGTTATGATTTTGTTCAATCTAAAATAAAAAAAAAAACAGCTTTATTCATTTTTTTTTCCGAGTATTATTCAATTTTATTTGCTGTTATTTTTTATTGCAACTCTCGAATCCTTATTCTATGATCGTATATAAGAAGAAAAATAATGAATCTCCGGTGAGATTCAGACATGTATTCGGATTCCTTTATCTCGA